GCTTTCTGTATCTTGAATGCATATTGGTTATGTGCCTAGAAGGTCACAATGAGAGAAAAAAAATATGGCCAAGAAGCAAAACTATAAATCACCCATTCAATTTGAGAATATTAAAAAAAAAAAATTAAGTCAAATACAAATACTCACTGTTACTTCTTAATACTTATAAAAAATTATACTCCAAAACTAGTTTGCATTCTGCCCTAAAGATAAAATCAGGAAGATGGCCAAATATGCTAGCCAAATTGCACTCCTGGCACAGGAGGGGAGTATTTAGCATTCTTAAATAATTTTTTCCTTCATTGTAAAATACACACAATTCTATAAAAAGTATGAATGTTATTGGAACTCTGTTGCTAGGATGAATTTATTCCAAACTGGTATTTGTTATCAAAAATGATTTATGACATGTACTCAGTCCAAATAAATGTAGAGAGCACTACAGGAGGCACTGCGTTGTAAGACTCTACAAAGAGCCTTCTTTCTTTCATTAACTTCCACTTCTGGTTGCTATGGCATCCAGTGACAACCATAAATTTTGGAAATTATCACCATCTGCCCACGCCCCCTTCTAAGGTTACATAGAAGCCCACTCAAGCAACCAAAATAACAAATAAAAACTTGATAAGCAATCTCAAAGTTTTTCTTTTAATTATAGATACCTAAGTATATAATATTAGGACTGGGAAAAGCCTTTTTTTTTTTTTTTAAACATAAAAATAGCCATTTTTTTCCTGAGAAAACAGATGTCTCCAGGAAAGATTATTATTTAATTCCAGTGTTCAATTGTTGAAAAGGAAACATGAGGGAATGATTAGGAACAAATTGATAGATTTTAGAAATTTGTCAAAATTAATAATTTTTCTTTTTCACAAGAACAATTTTGGCAACTTCAAAGGTAAATTTGCATTGTTTATACTTTTCAAATGGTAATACTGGGAGTCCAAAATTACAGATCAATGTTCACAGGTAGGTTACAATTTAAATCTTAGAAAGGATTTGAGATTTGGGGGTCAGGGGTTGTTTTTTCTCTCTTTGTTTTGTTGAGGATTAAATGCTCATTTGTTTTACTAGTTTTAGAAACATGATTTCCAAGTCTTTGAAAGATACTGACATAACTATAGATTCTTGGAAATAAATATTAAAGATTCCAACTTCAGCTCAAGTTATGAACAGTTCGTGAGTTCCAGCCCCACATTGGGCTCTGTATTGCCAGCTTAGAGCCTGGAGCCTGCTTCAAATTCTGTGTCTCCTCTTTTGCCCCTCCACTGCTCACTCTCTCTCTCTCTCTCTCTCAAAAATAAACATTAAAAAAAGAAAAATTACAAACCTACAGGTTAAAAACATAGTAGAAACATCATCAAACTAGTTTGCTTAATGTCAACAATATTTATATATAACTTCTTCATAAATTTAAAATAATAACTAACATACTTCACCTTCCCCATCTTAGGAAGAAAAAATAATGTTTTATTTTTTAAAGAAGCTCAGAAATATGAAAAATAAAGTAGCAAATATAAGTAAACTCATAGGACATAAGAGTCTATATATTCATATTACATCATATTCCCTGAATACACTAAGTTTTCCCTGGGAGGAAAGTGCTACATTCTTTAGAGAATTATAAGATTTCTTCAAGACCATTAGATTTCCAGTTAAAGTTAACGTTTAAGGATAGTAAATAATCCAAAGAATGGAGATATTAGCCTGTGTTCCTCCATCTAAAAAAGTTTATGCAAAAAAGACCAATTATATTGAATATAGCAAGATAATTCATGTGCAAGAGTCAAACTCCTGGCAGGTACAAATCTTTGGACAATCTCTAAAAAAAAAAAAAAAAAAAAAAAAAAACAAAAAAACAAAAACAAAAACAAAAACAAAGTGAAATACTCATATGTGGAATTTAAAAAACAAAACAGACGAACATAGGGGAAAGTAAATAAAAAAGAGAGGAGGGCAAACCTTTAGAGACTCTTCACTAGAGAGAACAAACAGGGTTGATGGAGGGAGGTGGGTGAGAGATCGGCTAAATGGGTGATGGGTATTAAGGAGGGCACATTTTGTAATGAGCACTGGGTGGTATATGTAAGTGATGAATTACTAAGTTCTACTCCTGAAACTAATATTACACTATAAGTTAAGTAACTAAAAGCTAAATAAAAACTTGAAATAAACAAAACAAAAAAAAAGAAAATAAGTGAAATAGGTAATAATGAACTTATGCTCTCTGTCTTACATTCACTGGGCTCTATAATTTAAGATCTAGTTTTCCATCCATTTTACTCTCCTGATGAGTCTCTATTTCCTTATCCATCTCTAGAATATGACTTTTTAAGGTCTTTTTCAACATAATTCTTAATAAGCTTGAAAGAAATTCTGGTTTGGGGGTTCACAATATACTAGGAAGAAAAAAAGTAAAGAAACAAAGGGAAGAAAAAGCCAAAAATGATGTCTCAGAAGAACAGCACAGCAACTGAAATATAAGAAATTGATCCTACTTCAAAAATGAATGTCTACTTATGTGGATCCTGAGAAACTTAACAGAAGACCATGGGGGAAGGGAAAGAAAAAAAAAAGTTAGAGAGGGAGGGAGCCAAACCATAAGAGACTCTTAAAAACTGACAACTATCTGAGGGTTGATGGGGGTGGGAGGGAGGGGAAGGTGGGTGATGGGCATTGAGGAGGGCACCTGTTGGGATGAGCACTGGGGGTTGTATGGAAACCAATTTGACAATAAATTTCATATTAAAAAAAATGAATGTCTATAATAATGAGTCAAGTTTAAATTATCTTGAGTGTCTCTGTTCCACCAAGCCACAGAAGTATGTAATATATTTCAGAAAGGGGTCTATCGAGAATAACTTAATATGTTGATTTTGAGTTTTGGTATATGATCATAAGTTATTTAGAAATTTTACTTACCCCAAAGTTACTTAATGTTGTTAACTAAGTAAGGTGTTGCTATTCTTAGATTCCGCTAAAATCATCTTATTTCATCAATGCTTTGGTAATGAACTATTTATTGTCTTCTCCGCAAAAGATTAAATATTGGCAGACAATTTGGAACCAAATCTTCCCTACCTTAGTATGAATACAATCTAGAATACCTTTCATCTGTAAGATAACTGCAACACAAACTTTTCAAATACAGAATAATGATTATTAAAATGATTTTTTTAACTCTCCCTAACACAGTTCTTTGAGAAGTTAATTAAGTCAACAATTCTTAGGTCTTTCTTCTAGCACCCTGTGTCTTTCAACCATAAAACATGAACAGTTAATATTTTAGTTATATCTAGCCTATGTGGTACAAAAAAAATCACCCATTTTTTTTTATTCCGGAAATTTATCTAGTTAAATAAAAACAGCTAAACTTACGTGCCTATTTCTTTTCTAAATCTCAAATTTGGAATTAGAATTTCAGCCAGTAGGATTCAATTACTAGAAACATGACTAATTAAACAAATGGAAATGATGATACTATTTCTGTAATTGGGTCATTTTCAGCTATTGATTTCATTTTTCTATGTCTCAATTTTTCATCTGCAAAATTAGCATAAAAATACAACTCTCCCTGGCACTTTAGATAATTTATTGTTAAGTATATACTGTGGTACCTTCCTGGAAAAGAGTTAAATATATAAAGAATGAACAAATAGCTTTACATTCAACTCAACAGATGTTTTTGATAAAAGTCCACAAAGGTAAAGGAATTATTCAGATATTGTGACAAAAATAAAAGTGAATTAAAACAGGCATGCTTTTAAATAGCTTTCAATCAAATATGAAATATGAAATCAGATTATCCATGGTGGTATCACAGCACAGAGAAAGAGAAATGTTACATAACAAAAATAAAACACTGATATGGGAATTCAGAGAAAAAAATAAAGACTCTTTCCTTATCTTGCCAGATTATGCTTCCTGTATCAGTTGTGTTACATGGCAACTGTGTTTATACGTAAATCTCCTCAATAAACTCCTTTGATGGTAAGAATTAATAACAAATAAAATCATCATCAGGGCACCTACGTGGCTCAGTCAGCTAAGTGTCTGGCTCTTGGTTTTGGCTCAGGTCATGATCTCACGGGTTGTGTGATTGAGCCCTGCATCTGAGCTGACTGACAAGGCAAAGATTGCTTTGAATTCTCTCTCTATGCCCCTCCCCACGTTCATGCATGCACTTTCACTTTCTCTCTCTCTCTCCCTCTCTCAAAATAAATAAATAAACTTAAAGAAAATAAAAATGAATGAAATCATCATCATTATAATTATAATTTGCTCATGGATCTGGATGAAACATGGAAAGTGGGCAAACATATGTAAGTAAATAAAAGAATCAATGAACACATCCAGGTGGTAGAAATCAAATGAGTTATTTTTATATTTAGCGCATCATTGAGATTGTTTATGGCATGGAACTTATGCAGTCAAGACAATTCTTTTTCTTGCACTTTTTCAAAATTCTAGTAATAAACATCTTTCAGATGTTTCTAATGGAAATGTATTCACACTGTAGTTTGAAAAAATAGGAGATATTTTATTGACATAGTTACTGTCTTGTTTGGATGCATTTCAATCTATTTCTGAGTTCTTATGAATGAAAAAAATAAATTTAGAATCCAGAGACCTAGATACAAATAACCACTAACAGTTTTGATCAAATTGACCTTGGGAAAGTCACTTGATTCTCTCCTAGCTTCCATTACTTACCAGGAAAATAGAGATTATCACTTGTTGTTTGATATTAGTGAGCAGATTAATTACAATAACTCCTAGCACAGTGCTCAACTTAGCTTCCTTCATTTTATTTTAAATAAATAAATGATGATAACCACAATGCAATTCCTCGATAAATTCTCACTGGTAACATTATGTTAGTGTGCACAAAACACAACTGATGGTTATAAGCACCTATGTAAACATAGATATGCATATATAAAAAACTATGGTATTGGCTGATTTTCAACATTTTTGGCATAAATGAGCAGCATTCTTACCTGTTGGTGGGATTATCCCAGGAGACATGAGGCCAGGGACAGAATGTGGCATGATATGAGAGTTCTCTGGGGAGGTGACACTTTGAGTCCTCTTAGGAGGCCTTCCAGGTCTAGAACTGAAACAAATAAACAAAAAATTTTTACAATTAAGCTGTTGTCTTACACATCATTTCAAAGTTGTTTCAAGTGGTAACATGGACTGTAAATAAATTTGTTTCAAGGACGGTTGCTTTTGCAGTTAGATGTAATAGACTTCCATCACTAATTAGATTACATGCTGAATTCATTTTCCTCATTGAAGATCAGCCACTCTTGATGCATAATTCATAGCCTGCACCTCGTTACCTGCTTCTTCATATTAATATCTATACACAGTTTGAATTGCCTCGTTTGCATATGCTAAAGTTCTGCATGCAGCCTTCAGCACGAAAATTATGCACTAACTTGTAATAATTATTACAGTCAGCCTGCTATTGATTTATGAGACTTTTAAAAACCAAATATGTGTAGTACTTGTAATGAATGATATTTTAAGGTTCTTCAGGAAATTAAAAGGCAATGGCTGCCTAAGGAAATGTTCTGCTTGTTTGATTTAATACTACAGTTAGCTGGGAGGTGGAATGAAAGAGTGATTCAGACCTATAGCACATTTTTCGATGATATGTTTTATTACTTCGCACTGCTAGCCTGATATCTAGATGATAAATGACAATACATATCTAATGTGTGAAAAGGTCTTGCAATTTCTTTATTTTTTGTCATTTAAAAGATAAGTCAAGTTATCATTTAACCCTATTCTATTTAAATGAACAGCCCCACTAGGTTGCTTTACTTTTAATACGCTAAAACAAATTGGAAAGGCTTAGAATTATTTGCAGGACATTGTGGAGAAACTGCCAGTATAGCATCTTATCCCTGCCTTCAGGATAAATAAAAATACTTTGTGTTTGTGTTTTAGTGGTACTTGTCCTTAACATGCTTATTGCATGAGATTAACTTTTAAAATTATAAAAGCAGAAGGTGAAAAGGAGACAAGGATTTGCCATTTTTGCATGAGAATAACATGAAGAATATAATATTAACAATTCTTGAAGCAAACACACTTAGCATTATGTTTCTCCTTTCTGCCTCTGTATCATGAATGTGCTTTTATGAAAAATGCTTTTCCATCATCTGGTCAATATGTGCTAACATCTCAGAACCTCCAGACAGGTCCTTCATAAGTTAGCATTTCCATGTTAGCCTCCACTGAGATCTTTTTTCTCATCAGAAGATTCAAAGATTTTACCTTTATTATTTAGTGTAAATAATATATGTGATCATTGATCAAATAATTATTAAGCACTTGCTGTTTTCAAGTGGAGATTAATTTGGGGGAATGGGTTCTTCAGTCTGTGGGAGTTTACACTCTTGCTAAGGGGGACAATCGGGTGCATGAATAACTATGGTGCACACCAGAATGTGCTAAGTGTCATAAGAAAGTTGCAATCTGAATACTAATTAGAGGTTAGGCTGAATGATGATACTTCTGTGCTTAGGGAAGGGAGTTAAGATTCCATGGCAGTAGAAGCATTAGAGAATTCCAAAGGATGAGTTAGGCATGGAGAGGAAAAGAATGGAAGAAACATGCACTCCAGTGAGAAGATGAGAGAGAAATGGACACATAACGTATGAATGTGCAGGATTGTTTCTAGTCAGCCAAAACAGCTCAAGTAAGATGAGGAGCAAAGATGGAAAATACTAGATTTACTGCCTGGGGCCAGATCCTGAAAGGCTTGGAACCAAAAGCAAGGAGATAGATTGTGAGTTTGTTCTGCTATTCTATAAGGAAACTCTCCCTTGTATGGTTCTAAGTATCTGTTTGGCTACTTCTTCTTCATTATTATTCTTCATCTTCAGCTGTTTCTTTAACTCTTATTATTTGCCTAGGGTTAATCAACAGCCCTCTGATAGTCTCCATTCTTCCTGAGCAATCCTTCTATTGACATCCCTGAGATGATAAGGAACCATGGCTAAATATATATCTACAGCTTAGGTCTTCCTCCTGGGATTCAGGCAGATTAATGCCTGTCTACTGGAAATCTCTGCTTAGATGTTCTTTAATAATCTAAGACTCAGCTTGTCCGAATCTGAACTCAGCATCTTCCCCATTAAAACCTATTTCTCTTTCCCTAGTTCAGCAAAATGGCACCTAACTGATGAAGCCAAAAATCCAAGATCAGCTGTGTCTTTTCCTCCCCTTGTACACTCAAATATCATCTCAGTGAAGATCCAGTCTCCTTTCTGCATCCTCACTCTAACCTTCCAGGTCAATCCTTCATTTCTTATTTGATCTACTATTACAGCCTTCTGAACACTTCCAAGATCTACCTCCAACTTTGTTCCACTGTAAAGTCTAGAGTCTAAAGTCAAGACAACTCTCCATACTGATCTCAGAAGGATTTTTATAAAATGCAAATTTGATCACGTTTTCCATTGCTTACAGATACTAGTAGTTCCCTACAAGATTCACACTCCTTATCATGGCACCAAAGCCTTCCGATGCTAGGTCCCTGCCTACTTTTCCAATCTCACCATTTTATTCTTACATTTGAGGCCCTCCTGAATGAAGACTGTCACAGTCGCTTTGGTCTCCTATCATACTAGAATTATAGATGCCTTTTCTATACCAACTCCTCCTCAACCCCATTTCACTTGGCTAAACTTGGCTAAATGTTAATCATCCTTCTTACTAATCACTTTTTAAATATTTTTAATGTTTGGGGCGCCTGGGTGGCGCAGTCGGTTAAGCG